TGGAAGTACAATCCCACGCAGGGATGTTTTCTCTGCGGGCAGCTAATCCGACTTAATCCCATTTAATATGTCGCGCTCCTCGAAAGTGCGAAAATTTTCTCGTCGTGTATTTGATTTCAGATACATTTTCTTAATCTCCATTTCGCGCCAGAATAAATTAGTTTGCCCGCAAAGGGCTTCTAAAAAAATCACAAGGTTTGTCCCACTTCGAGTCCACCTTCTGGATATACGCCGGCTTGGTAGCTGGAATACATTGCCGAGGCGGAGATCTGGCATTTTTTCCTCCTCGTTGATTTTCTCCACGACAAATATTTATATTTGTAGTGCGAATGCAGCGCATATCGGTGCGGCTTGCTACTTCTGAAAGAACAGTGCCGGATTTCATCGTTTTGTTCATGTTTACCAGTGTTGGCGAATGTAAGGTAAATGAACCGACAACTGTAAGGTAAGAATTGAAGTTTTAAATTTGTTACTCGGCGAAAAATCGTGGAATTGGAATTCGTGAAACCCGTGAGTATTACCTCTGTTACCTAATGTCATGCGATGACATTTTCTTTTTCGATGCGTAACACGGATACAAGCGATAAATGTCTTTCGCAAAGTGAAGTATAATTTAAATAACGAGACCACTTGACGAACATTTCTCGTTATATGCTTTATTTGCTTGGCTTATTCAGGCTACATGCCAGGAGTTTGATGACAATTTATGTGTGTGCTATAATTATGCTGATACGTTTTTGCACCTTTATATTGAAACTCATGTAAGCCAAACTTCTTAAATCTAGCAAAAACTCTTCTATTATGGAGGAACTTTTAACGTCTTTCAGGGCCCAATATGGTGTCAAATTTTTTTTGGGAAACAAAGCTTGATTTTTGGCGAAACAGACTATAGCTTTTCTTTCTTTGAAGACAGCGCGAGGCAAACGTCCGTGAGTACAGTGTAAGCCAGTGATTCTTTAGGTAGAGCTAACAAACATAGGCTGCACTTTAGGTGGCACACCCATGGGTGCAGTGTAACCCAGTGATTCTTTAGGTATAGCTAGCAAACATAGGCTGCACTTTAGGTGGCACACCTATGGGTGTAGTGTAACCCAGTGATTCTTTAGGTAGAGCTAACAAACATAGGCTGCACTTTAGGTGGCACACCCATGGGTGCAGTGAAACCCAGTGATTCCTTAGGTAGAGCTAACAAACATAGGCTGCACTTTAGGTGGCACACCCGTGGGTGCAGTGTAACCCAGTGATTCTTTAAGTAGAGCTAACAAACATAGGCTGCACTTTAGGGGGCACACCCATGGGTGCAGTGTAACCCAGTGATTCCTCAGGTAGAGCTAACAAACATAGGCTGCACTTTAGGTGGCACACCCATGGGTGCAGTGTAAACCAGTGATTCTTTAGGCAGAGCTTACAAACATAGACTACACAGGTGTACATCAGATGGCAGTACACGTTTTCCAGTTAAAACTTTGTCAGAAAGTGCTACACCATGGCACTTCGACTATTTCTTTACCGCGCACTTTATACATTGTTCTGACGCACAACTGATAGTCGGGAGAAGTCGCATTGTCTAAAACCATAGCAAAAGACAAATTTATACACATCACAGAAGTAAGGTAAGGTAATACACGGTATTTCTTTCAGGTACATTTACATTCAAGTATAAAAAAATAACTACTAATAACTAAGCTAGAAATGAATCTAAGATAAAAACTAAAATAATAACGATATAACAATAAAAAACCTGCTTTACATCGAGGCCTTGTGTAAAGATACATATATCTAAATTAAGGTTTTTTAATTTTTCTTTAAAAACATTATTGCCGCACCTTAAGAGACAAGCTGTTCCACCACACTCTTCCGTTATAAGAAAGGCTTCTTTTTTAAAAGTCAGTGCGGGGGTTGAACAGCGAGCTTGTATTCATGCATTTTCTGTTAGGTTATAAGCGATTAAATCGCATGCAGCGACGAACAAAACGCAAAGCCGTCAGATATTCTAGAACCGTGTTATTTACAGTGCTGTACATTATTATTGCTTAACTAACTCTGCTAACTAACTACGCGCTGATGAAAATAAGTTTCGGCCGCTTTAAATTTTGAAACAATTCACTGGTACTGTATACTCATAATTGGAGCGGGAAGTTAGCAGGCGAGCCGGGCGATTCTGCTGTCGTTTCTGCAATGTAGAAGATATTACGGCAATGAGCTCCCGAGGCCCGTTCCCGAAATCACAACCACATGTAGGATAAAATGTATTCTGCGTCTCCTTTTCCAGGTTAGGTTAAATAAACCCGTACCAACGGTTTGTTTGACAAAGCTCCCGCGAGACGGTTTTTTGGTGATTTTATTAATTTTTCCGATCCATTTTTTTTTTCATCTTTATTTTCGCGGCTTTTGCGATACAAACTAAATTCATTTTTAGTTGTGATGGCATTACTGCTTAATCATGACGGCTTTGGAAGAAACTGAACTATTGTGCTTCGCGATTTCGCAAAATCGCTGCAGGAATTAAAAAATATTTTTTTCCAAAAAAAGAGTTTTCACCTCCACCTTCATTGTCGAGTCAATTATCTCGTTTATCTCGTTTTCTAAAGGTCCTTGAAAACTGAATAAGACAATATTTCATTACCTAAAACCTTAGAACCTGATTTATTTTGACCAGCTCCATACAATTTCTTATAACAAAATTATAAGGAATTGTATGGAGCTCTCCGTGATACTTACAGTGCAAGCCCTGTGTGTCTTCTCATGCTACGCTCGACTTCGTTAAATTAGATATGAAAAACAAACATCAAATACAATAATAATATATTTACTCAGCTTTACCATTCAAGATGCAGCTCCTGGAAGCTATCAAGTCAGGCCCGAAGTGCTTCAGACTTTTCAACTCTCTTACGCACCTAGCAAGGTGAAAAACGAAAACGATGCTATCCCAAATCGGATTTCCGACTTTGACAAGAGACGTATTTCTCAACCAAAAACCCATTAAATAAACTAGCCACGAATAACAGAAGACTCTTGATAGCAGCTGAATTTCATTTCTTGTACATCCAGTAGAAAAAGGCGGTTAAAAACATCACAAGTTGACACAAAACTCTGTCAGCTTCAGCTGTCAAAGTAAACAAGTTTCAAGATGCTGCATAAATTTTCCGCATGAACTCACCTGTCAAATATTGACCAATCTGAGCATGAAAATTGGATGTAGAGCGTGACCAACACGTGACCATGGTGAGAAAAGTCAAAAGCTACTGTATTTCCCTGTCTGTAATAACCGTCTAAATTTTGGCGTCCGAGGTCAGTTTGAATTCAAAATTTTCACGAAAAAATGCCGGCAACAGCAGAATTTCGACTTAGAGCCCAAAGAGGCGTGGCACTATAACCACGTGACATTCATTGAGACCGCAAAAAATTTTATGCTATATTGTAGATTGATCCATATGTTATCCAAAATTTTCATTGTGCGGCACATAAACACAACATATTTCATATTTTTTCAGGGCCACAATTGATTAACTGACTACCCGAATTCTAAATTTCATGATCATTGCAAAAATGCGACATTATCCTCTATAAGCCTAAACATGAGTAAACATTGAAGATTTTTAGCGTTTTGGCTGAGTTTGTGCTTTGGGAGTTCTCTATTGTTTCTAGTCTGTCATGATACAACATTCTTCTTCAGCACGCGTGCAATGACCGCGCTTGGCTGACTTCCGAATGTTCCGAATGAAGGGAAAAAAACTACGAATTTTTAAGAAAATGCTTTTTTCGTGAGAAGGACTCTTAAACGATGACAAACGTCAACAACTAGCTAAAACTATAATTTTTATATGTTTGCATTGCTCGAAATCGCGCGGATTTACAAGGCCTTAAAGTTGTTTGGCGACTTGCAAGGACCCATCCGTTATAAAGATCCCCAAAACAAAGGGATAAATCTCATAGTTTATTAGATATAATCGTGTAAAGTTGGCTTTTCATTGTCGCATAAATTATGACCTTTATACTACTACATGAGAAATTTCTGCAATTTGATTGGCTTAGAGCAGTGGTATTTCAGCTTAATTTGAAATACCTACATGTGGAAATTACAAACCTTTGAGGGTAGTAGTATAAACAAATAATAGCATGATTTGTACGTGATATTTGGCATAAATACCACTAGTGATATTTGAAAATTGTCTCAAATTTCACTCGCCTTACGGCTCGTGAAATTACGTATAACAATTTCGAAATATCACTCGTGGTATTTATGCCAAATATCACTACAAATCATGCTATTACCTGTACAAATTTGGAAACCGATGAATTTCTCGCATTGGGTCTTTGCGATTTTGGTGAAAGTCTGTTCAACGCAAGGCACTAATACGCACTATACGCAGCCGAGAGATTTTCACGAAAAAATGCCGGCAACAGCAGAATTTCGACTCAGACCCCAAAGAGGCGTGGCACTATAACCACGTGGCATTTATTGAGACCGCCAAAAATTTTATGCGATATTGTAGATTGATCTATATGTTATCCATACTATATGTTAGACTTACGATCAAAGTAAAGGTGGGATACCAGAGAGCTTGAAAGTAGGATGGTACCCTACAAAATAACTGGGTCGAGTCACCTTAACAAAGAGACACGTACAGAAGTACACGTGTTCTATTGAAATTACATATCAGTTGTTCCAATATTTGTGCACGTGTCACTGCTTGCTATTTTGCATTTGAAAAATACACATATTTCAGCTGCAGAGTTTTAGAAAGATACGAAAGAGTTAAAACTAGATTTGCTGAGTAGTGCAGAATTGCCTAATAACGCTCTGATGAAACTGAGTTACGTTCTAAAGATAACTTTGAAATATCGGCTGTGACAGGTATGTCAGTTGCCTCTTTTAATCCCGTTGTTTAAAGTAGTAAACCTGTTCATAACTATCAAAAAGTATAAACTATCATTACACCATATTTTTTCACATCTATTCAATTGTTATCCTTGATTTATTTTCTGTGCGGTCGACAATGGAAGTTGATGTGGGTGCATCGCGGCCGTTTGATTCATTTGAGCACCACGAAATTGGAACGTTAATATACATGAAAGATGAATTCATGGCACCTACGCTTCCGAACGGTGTGGAGATTAAGTTCGAGCAAATCATAGCTCTCGCTGGGGACTTTTATGGATTGCCCAAACACCCAATTATTGATCCATTCAAAGGAGAAGGAGAGGATTCCGGTCGTGACCAGCGCTTCCGAAATGCATACGAAACTCTGGCACATGCACCAAGGGATGAATTACAGAAAGAGTTGAACAAGCTGTTGGCTACTTTAGAGAAGGAGATTGAAGAGGGAAGAACCGTTGATGCGAAAACATGGGACGAAATCACCGGTGGTAAATGGTTCTTTGGCCTTCCGGTGAGAGACGGAAGGATGTTACAGTTGACTGAGAATAATCACGACCATTTTCTTCCTCATGCAAAAGAGGCATACCTGGTTGGTCATCAGTTGGCAACAGAAAAAGCACGAGAAACCAGTCAATATCCACAAGATCCTACACTGAGGAAGAAACTCCTCCATGAAGCATTTTCAATGGAAGCATTTGCTTGTCACTTCCTTACTGACAGCTTTGCTAGTGGCCATATAAGGTAAGAAAAATAAAGTTACTATAGATCATCATAGTGTTTTTAACTATCGGGACCGACCGTTTTTCTTCGGTTGGTTTGGGTTTTTGTGTTATAGATCTGAAAAGACCGTTTTGGGTTGGTTTGGTTGATCAACCTTTTCATCCAGCTCAGAAATTGTTGTCCTCTGATATTTTTGCGATCATCAATTTTCAAGTGTTGCGTCATTTTTCCTCGAATTTTGCGATAAGTGTTCGCGTGGGTCGCCGCGAAAACAGTCTTTTAAAAAAGCAAAGATGGCAGTTCATAAATAAACCTAACAAAGAAACGATATTTTAAAAGTAAAAATATAGCCACTACTACAAAGATTTAAATACTTTACTAAGACATGCAAGGTTCAGGTCTTATCTCAGTCTCCTAAAACATTGTGGCTACATATTCGGATTCATCATCTGATTATTCGTCAGACTGAAACGTATTTTACACCAAGTTGTTGTAGAAGAACCGCAGCAACCACTCTGTCTTCCGTCAGGTTGACAACCTTGGCAACAGAAGTCGAGAAAGCCTGGAATCGACTATACCTAATCACAACCGCAATTCAACCTACTGAAAACGGTTGGAGGAGTGTCCTATTGGGAACTCCAATACTCAAAAATCGGTTTTAATTGAAACGGTTGTTCCTAATAAAACACGACCCTATACTAATGCATGTCCCAAGGATTGTCTTCTACGGAATCACTAACTTTCCTGTTCTCTACGGGCCTTCTCATCGACTGTCGGAAAAAATGTGTACGCGACAATCCCGAAAGGTAATATGGGATATGATCAATACACTGTTCCTGAAACTCTAGCTGTCGAATTTACTTTTGTTGTTTTCCTTTATTTTCTCTTGCTTGGCCTGAATCTGCCTGGCGGAGGCCGTGAAATTGGGTGCAATGATTAACTTTGCAAGGGTTACTTCTGTTTACAGGACGCCAAGAGTTGAACTGGGAAAGGCGACAACTCTAGGAAAAGATGGCCATTTATTATGTAAGTACATGCACGACGAGGACAACAAATATGTTCTGCGCGTGACAAATCTAAGGGGTGATAAATGGATTGCATATGGTGATGGTATGCTTCTGGAAGAAAAGAGCAAAGATAATTTAAAGGTAGCAGCAGAAGCTGTGCAGAAATCAGTTGATCAAGTCTACGAGGCCTACACAAATCCTTCCGGATCTCTTGGTCCCTCTCAGGTAACCGACCTGATACCTTTTGTTGATCAGGAGGAAAGAAACAATTCTCCAATGTTTCAGATGATAGATGGGAAGCTTCTCAGAAGATCAAACTTGAACGATCTCCAGGGTACTACTACAACTGCCAGTTGGTGGGGACCAACAACAGTGGCAATGCTACAGGTTTACAAACCTGAAAACTCTGCTATATAGGCGTGCAATTGCTCAAAACCTATATTGCCAGGAGAGAGCCAGAACTTTTAAAATGCTAGCTTAAAGAGAAAAATGTATTAAACATATTCGAGATAACAATTACTAACAGCTGAAAATCTTACTAATTCTAGAGGCGATATTTTTTTACTTCACGATTATTGAGATCATGTAACCTGTAGAACTGAATTCAGTTCCAGTTCATACATGTACTAGTCAGATTTAGGGAAATAGGTCTAATTTGACAATTGGTATGTGTTTTAGTTGTACTCTGTGGAATAAGAGATTCTTAGTATACATGTTTTCGATTTCATAAATGATGTTTTTTAAATTCTATCGGAATTTCTACTTTTTGTCAACTTAAAGTAACATGACAATTTTAAACTGCAAAAGAGAAATAGCTTTATAGGGTCAGCTTGAAAAGCGGTGTGTGTACTATTTCTCATCCTAGCGAAAAAACAAGGCCAAGAAATGAATGAAACACTAGCTTTCAGGCTACAATCGCGAATAGAATAAACTGGAAAAACAACCCCTCCTCACTCAAAGTCTAAGTTTGTATGCAACACGTAAGTTAAGTAAGGGCCTGTTTTCATGAAGGTGGGGACCCCAAGTAGGTGAGGCAACCACATATCATGTAAACGTGATCAAATTAAAATGACAGATTATATGGACAGGCGGGTTACCCTACCCAAGCGGGTCACCCCACATACTTGGGTTCCTCCACCCCTATGTAAACAGGCCTTAAGTTATTAAGTAGGACAGACTGGGAGAGATATACAAGAACACTTGCTGAGTCTGCCAGGCCACTTGCATCGGTAAGACTGGTTGAAACCTTTGCGCACACGTAACTGAACACATACGCCAGTCAAAAAAGAATGTCAACATTAACAATTGAATTACAACGGAACACCACTTCCAAACAAACAATGTTACTGGCCGCTTCTACCAACGATCCGCTTAAGAAAGCTGGTTTATGCAAGAAACACTGCTGAATCGAAGTCAGAAGTTACCGGTTCCTTGCTCGAATGAAGCAAATCTTGACATCTATAAAATGAGAGAATATACTGAACATTTTGACTAAACAGTGCATGACCGTTTTCACTGGCAAAAGACTGGTTGAAAGGCACCCCTCACATCATCATCGGTCATTCAGGCCGTTAATATCAGGAGCCCGTTCCTCGAAAGTACCGCTAGTTAATGTAAGATTGTCTTCTAAATATTCTTAAGGTAATGTTATTGAGGTGTCAGTTAACAAAAAAAATGACTGGGTTGTTTGCTACGAACCGATAGTTGATTTCGGACGTTCGAGGAACCGGCCCTTGGACTACACTCACCGGGACGTAACATAGTTACTCCATCTGCTTATGACTTTCGACTGCTTTCGACTTTCAAGGACAACGACAGACAGCAGACAGGAGGATAAGCAAGGAGCAGTATACAAGAACAAAAGCTGCGACAACGACTTATTGACGAATCCAGCAAAACTAACACGGACAGAATGACCGGACAAACGGCAAATTTACTGACAGAAACGAATTGCAACGCACCAATCACATTTTAGAGTCCAACTTAACTGACCAATTCAATTGAATTAAATTCAATTCAGGTTTTTTTTTCACTCACGCAAAATATGTTAGATTATAATAATATTACAACCGAAGGTTCTAAACAAAGTGAATACCAATACATACGTAGAAGCTGAAAAGAATTACATGTCCAAATATTTATATACAATATTTGTTTTGGAGGTGAATTTGAATTACGAATCCAGGGTTAGATTCACTATAAAGACAATGGATTTAACTGCGAGTCGTCGTTTCGTCGAAGTAGTTTCATTTGACTCCTCAATCGAACACCCAAAAATTGGTGAGAAAATGCACCTAAAAGATGAATTTAGGAAGATAAAACTGTCAAACGGTGTAGAAGTTAAGTTCGAGGAGATTATAGGCCTCGCTGGAGACTTTTATGGATTGCCTGAAAACCCAATTATTGATCCTTTTAAAAAAGAAGAGGAAGACTTTTTGCGAAAACAGCGCTTTCGAGGTGCCTACAACACACTTGCAAGGGCACCAAAGGATGAATTACAGAAGGAACTTGACAAGCTGTTGGCTTTCTTTAGGAAAGAAAGAGTCCTGGATGCAGAAACAGCGGACGAAATCACTGGTGGTGTCTGGTTCCTCGGCATTCCAGTTATACAGGGAAGGAAGTAAGAACTGGCTGAGAATAATTACGACCATTTTCTTCCTTACGCAAAAGACGCATACCTGACGGGTCATCAGTTGGCAATAGAGAAAGCACGAGAAGCCAGTCAATATCCACGAGATCCTGAATTAACGAAGAAACTCCTTCATGAAGCATTTTCAGTGGAAGCATTTGCGTGTCATTTTCTTACTGACAGCTTTGCCAGTGGCCACATTAGGTAATGATCCCTTCAGGCCATGTTCTTATATTTTCCTTTTTTTTTTTTTCGAGTCATTGATTTCCTGAGCTTTTCACTGAGACTTACACTGATATGTGGCCTCTTAGCCCTTAGCAATTACAACGTGAAAGGATTACAACGTCAGAGGCAGTCTTTAGTTAAAGAAAAGCCATGGGTACAAGAATCGAAAAACCCACCACAGTACACAGTTGAGTGTACTAGTTTGTGACGCTCTTTGAATTTCATATACCGATTGTTTGTATTTTAAGTAACTGAAAAAAATACTTTTGACATTGAAAAGTATACGTACATTACATGTGAATTGTTTTAAAAAGAAAAATAGCAGTGTAAATATATTCGTTTATTTTACGAAACTTTGATGCCTTGTAGTTAAATTTATTGTAATAAATTTTTGATGAGATGGCATCATGCTGACTTGTTAAGAATCTGATTAACATCCATAAAAATATCTGCTTGCAGGACGCCAAGATTTGAGCTGGGAAGGGCGACCATTCTTGGGAAAAAAGGCCATTTACTTAGTAAATACATGCATGACGAAGACAACAAATATGGTCTGCGTGTGACAAATCTGAGGGGTGATAAATGGATTGCATATGGTGATGGGATGTTGCTCGAAGGAAAGAGCAGAGATAATCTTAGGATTGTAGTAAAAGCNGTGACAAATCTGAGGGGTGATAAATGGATTGCATATGGTGATGGGATGTTGCTCGAAGGAAAGAGCAGAGATAATCTTAGGATTGTAGTAAAAGCTGTGCAGATTTCAGTTGATCAAGTGTACGAGGCGTACAGCAACCCTACCAACGCTCTTAATCCTTCTGTGGTGACCGAATTGATACCTTTTATTGACATCGAGGAGACAAACAACGCCCCACTTTTTCAGGTGAAGGATGGGAAAGTCCATAGAAGATCAAACATAAATGATCTTCAGGATACAAGTACTACTGAAAATTGGTGGGGGCTAACAACATTAGTAAAGATAACTATGTGTTGTTATAAACCTAGAAACAGTTCTGTATAGCTGAAGCGCCTTCCCCACAACAAAACAAAAAAACTGCATATATCAGTTACAGTCAGAGAAAAAGAGGGATTATTGTACCTTACTTTAAAAAATAAATCACTCAGTTATTATCCACAACCACGCGTAATCTTCTCACGTTTAACACAAGCGAAATATCATCAAATAACTCGGAAAAACTCAGCCTGTTGGCAGATAAACACTTCAGTAGTCGTTTCTCTTACACTCGTCTTATTCAAATTCCCGGATGTACAGTCACACGGTCGGCAGACTAGCATAGCCCCTGTTTTCACACCAGAAAAAGTCTTGGCCTGGGTCAAAGTTCACCTTCAATTTTGCTCTTGTATAATTAATTTGATCCTAAAAGACTGTTCCCGAGGCCAAAGACTTAGTGGTCACCTTAGAAAAGCGAACAATATCGTACCTTCTAGCAAAATTAAAGACACTGGGGGTTGGTTGTACCGCTCTGGAATGGTTTGGAAGCTATTTTTCGGGACTTCAACAATACGTCAGGATCGGTGCTGAGGCCTTAAGTCTGGGTGCTCTTTCTCATGGTGTACCACAGGGTTCCATCCTAGGTCCGGCGCTATTTACCAACAACATTAACTTTCCAACATCCCGAAATTTGGTTCCCTGGAATCAAACGTTGTCATTTTCTGTCAAAGATACTTACAGTGTGGTCCAGCAAATGAATGATGATTATCGAAGATTGCGTCTTGATGCTGCTATAGTAATAATATATTTAACAATTATTCCACGAGGGCGCGTTGGAAATGAGATGATAGATCGCCAACGAGGCGCGTAGCGCCGAGTTGGCTATAATCATCTCATATCTAACAAGCGCGAGTGGAATAATTATTTCATTAAAAACGCCCACAAAATCTCGATGAATTCACATGTCACACGTCTATCAAAACTAGGGACGTTAAGCATCGACAACGAAATACATGACGACGACGTTTATAACCCAAGGAGGATTGGGTCGAGGCTTTCGTTCTCGGCGGGAAAAACGAAAGTTAAGCAGTGTGTTGTTTTTAGGAGACGACGATTTTTGGTTATCTGAAAAGTAGCTCTAGCTATGGCTTTCAAAAACGTCCGAAATCTGCTTCTAATTAATCACAACGATGGCTTTATCAATGATGATGAATTTGTTTTTCTGTACGACCTCTATGCATCGAAAAACCTCGACTTTCCGTACGATTCGTACGCACCTTTTGACCTGGAAGAGCTTGATGAGTCTGAGAGTTTTGCAGAGTTTCGCTTTGGAAAACGAGATATACGAATTCTGAAGGAAGTTTTGCTAATCCCTGACACGATTACCTGCAGTCAGCGCTCTGTTTGTGATGGACTAGAAGGTCTCTGCATGCTGCTAAAGCGGCTTTCTTACCCATGCAGATATGGAGACATGGTCCATAGATTCGCTAAACCTGTTCCAGTTCTTAGCATGATCACCAATCAAATGATTGACTTTGTGTATAATGTTCACGGGAACAGAGTACTAAACTGGAATCACGAGGTCCTTAGTCCTGTCAACCTGCAGACTTATGTTGATGCTGTGACAGCCAGGGGAGCCCCACTGCCCAATTGTTTTGGGTTTATTGACGGTGCCGTTAGGCCTATATCAAGACCTGGAGAACATCAGCGACTTCTTTACAATGGGCATAAAAGGGTTCATGCCCTGAAATTTCAAAGCATTGCTTTGCCAAATGGCTTGATCGGAAATCTATATGGCCCAGTTGGTAAGTTACAAAACAGTACAGGCCACCAGCTTTAAAGCAGGGATGTGACCAAATGTTTACTTTTGTAGACCTTGCACTTATTTTTAAAAAAGGGAAAATATTGAAAAAAATGAAACATTTTTCAAGGCTATAGGACAGGCTAAATTTATTGATTTTCTTATTCAATAATGATTACCAGGGTGAGATCACTTCAACAGTTTATTGGGAGCATAGCCAGAGGGAAGAGGGGACTGTCCTCCCTCCCCCCGCTTGAAATAAATATAAACTCAAGATGAAATTAGGAAAAAGTTTCTGAAGTACTCATATAATCAACAGCTTATGTAACCCAATTGTCAGCAACCTTTACTCTTACACTGATACCTACCATCACCTACCTATTTTTAGAAGGAAGAAAACATGATGCAGGAATGCTTGCTGATTCACAGCTACTACACGACCTTCATCAGTTTGGCTACAATCCAGCTGGCCAGGCAGTCTGTGTTTATGGTGACCCTGCCTACCCCCTTAGAGTGCAGATGCAAGGACCCTTTAGATATGGTGTATTGACGCCACAAATGCAGCAGTACAATACAGAGATGCGTGCTGTTAGAAGTTCTGTTGAATGGCTGTTCGGAGATGTAATCAACTCGTTTAAGTTTAATGACTTTCAAAAAGATCTGAAGCTTTTCCTCAGCAGTGTTGGAAAGATCTATGTTGTTTCTGTCATACTGCGTAATGCAATGACATGCTTGTATGGTAACATGACCTCAGAATTTTTTGACCTTAGGCCACCTACTCTTGACACATACTTTGGCTAGGAAACCACACTATTGCCCAGTTTACAATGCCTTTGATAAAATATGTATCAAAACCTTATAACTGCAGTTAACCATGGTAGATATTTGTATGCTGATAAGTTAAAGACTATTTCTCACACCATTGAACTTTTTAAAGAGAAAATGAATAATAATAAAATTAAACACAATTTTATTTCTAAAAGTTTTCTATTTTTCAAGAAATGTTATTGTAACTATTGATTTATTTCCCAACCTTATTTCCATTTTTCAGAAAACTGTGGTTAATTAACTTAAATTAATTTTATAAATAGAAATAAAAGAGATTTATCACAAAGAATTAAGCACAACATTGCAGAGTCAGGCTATTTTTTTGGAATTCCTTTATCAAACATTTTTACAAATATAGGAGCCCAAGGGCCTGTTTGTTGGAGGTTGGGCTGGCACTAACCCAGGATGTTTACCGTGGTGACTTAATGATTTTTTACAGAGTCAACCCTGGGTGAAAGCTACCCCAATCTAACATGACTGAATGAAGGTACCCATGCTTCTTTTAGAGATTTTGCCTTGATGATGCTCGAAATTGGCTCAATTTCTATAGTGGACTCACTTAATGTAAGAAATACTATGAGCTATTTACATAAAAGCACAGCTAACCAAACAATAGAAAAGAATAGACCTAGCTATAAATACTATTTTTAAGATTTATTTTGTGCATTTAGTGACTGTACATTAGGGGAAAGTTTGGGCATTTAGGGCCCTTTCTACAGAAAAACATCTGTCTATTAGCAAAAACAATGTTTTATTTCTTCTTGAAACTTTTTACAAAACTCTCTATAGAAAAGAAATATAATTACATTCATCAACAATGCTCTTGAAGATAACTAAAGTCATAACAAAAGTCAACTCAACAAGTTCAGGGCTCTTCCACATTCACAAGGTTCGAGCTTAATGCTTTTTTATATTTTCCATCAATGCCATAAATACCTTGTTTTGCTGGTCAAGCATAATTTGAAGGTTTTGCTGTTGAAGCTGCTGCTATTGCTGCATCGTGTTGATCAGCGCTGAGAACACGGTCTGTTGCTGCTGCGATGCCTCCTCTTGTCTAGTTTCTGCTAGATCAAGCTCTCTTTTTTTCTTATGGCTAACTCTTCCTTTTTCAGTTCTCTCTCTTTCTCTGACTTCTCGGCCAAAAATCCGATTGCATCAGAGGTGCTCCTCCTCAATTTAGCTTTTTTTGGTTTCTCGCCACTATCATCGCTCTTTCTAATTGCAGTTGTCTGAAGAGCCGCCTGTCTGATTTCCTCTGCTTTAGCTTTTTCTTTCTCATCTTTTGCCTTCCTGTCGTTTCTCAGGGCGTCACTCTTTTCTTCTGCGCTTTTCTCTCGCTCTCGAATTTCCTCCAGCAAGGCATCGAGCTCTGTGAGCTCGGGGACATCGATCCCAGATGCTTTCTCTTCTTCTCTTTGCTTTAGTTTGTGCCGGGAGATCAGGAGTGCATATCGATCTCTCTCTGCCCTTGCTGTAACCCAGAATTCTGGAGTCTTCAGAGAATTCAAACAGGCTGCGATGCTTTCCCATACTTTCCCTCTCTCGGTGCTTTTCGGTTTAAAATTGTAAGGTTCGCTCGTTACAGCTTCGCGAAGCATCAAGACATCATGGTCTTCCGTCCAAACAAAATACCTGGACTTACTCGCTGTCAAAAGAACACGAAAAGATATATTTTTAAAGCAAAACTGAAGATTTATATCTTGAAGTGCAACTTAAAATTAGCACAATGACATGCAGGTCTAAAATAAGAAGAACATGACTTCAAATATCCCAAAATTTCCTTAAAGAGATCAGTACAGAAAAACTTACATTTCTTTTGAACGAGTTCTTGCTCGGCTGTAGAAATGTGGCCGGCCATGGTTTCGGATGCTTCTGAAAGAAAGTCATTTTAGTGATCATGCTAAACTGTTAAACATTTGACTTCCGCTGGTCCGCAAATAATACATCAAATAATCATTATAACAAAAGGTGGAAACAGATGATTATCAGCATGAAAAAGTTTAGTTGTTTACTTACGTTTTCACCAGAGCGAACATTTGCTCAGATTCAGTCGTCGACGAAGGCTGGACGACGTTTTGATAACCTAACGCATGCCCAGAAGGTTCGCGCGGGAAAATTTCACTTCCGGTCGGCGTCGTCGCCCCATTTCGTCGTCGATGCTTAAGGTCCCTACTGTCAACGCGCGAACGGACTCTGCTGGACTGCATGAATGAAAAATCAAGACATTGTAGCGATGAACATTAGTTTTTTAAAAACTCATTGGGATTCTAGGATTTTACATAGCAGAACAGCTAAAAAAACCTGGCAGATAATGTGAAGGAAAAGAATTTTTAAGTGACAGCCGTCGAAATTACTGTGAATTTGGATTTTCGGTGCATTTATAAAAGTTAGGTTAGAACAACGGAGAAAAACTATTACCTCGCTCGCTTGTTATGAAGTT